AACCCTAAAAGATGGGAAGCCATTCCCAGAGCTGGTGCTAGAGCAGCAGCTGGATCGTGAAGCCCAGGCAAGACATCAGCTGGTGCTTACTGCTGTGGATGGGGGGACCCCAGCTCGCTCAGGAACCACCCTTATCTCTGTCATCGTGCTGGACATCAATGATAATGCTCCAGTCTTCCAGTCCTCAGTTCTACGTGTGGGAATCCCAGAGAATGCACCCATTGGTACTCTGCTGCTCCGCCTCAATGCCACTGATCCAGACGAGGGCACCAACGGCCAACTACACTATTCTTTTGGAGACCACACATCTGAGGCAGTGCGGAACCTCTTTGGCCTAGACCCCAGCAGTGGGGCAATCCGTGTGTTGGGTCCCATAGATTTTGAAGAGTCGAGTTTCTATGAAATTCATGCAAGAGCCCGTGACCAGGGACAGCCTGCCATGGAGGGCCACTGTGTGATTCAGGTGGATGTGGGGGATGTCAATGACAATGCCCCAGAGGTGCTACTGACCTCTTTGGCCAACCCTGTCCTAGAGAGCACACCAGTGGGCACAGTAGTGGGGTTGTTCAATGTGCGAGACCGAGACTCAGGTAGAAATGGTGAAGTGAGCCTCGATATCTCTCCGGACCTGCCATTTCAGATTAAGCCTTCCGAGAACCACTACTCGATGCTAACCAGCCAGCCCTTGGACCGGGAGGTCACATCCCACTATATCATCGAGCTGCTGGCCAGCGATGCTGGCTCACCTCCCCTGCACAAACATCTCACCATTAGGCTCAACATTTCAGATGTTAATGACAATGCACCCCACTTCAACCAGCAGCTTTACACTGCTTACATCCCAGAAAACCGGCCTCCAGGCTCCCTTCTCTGCACCGTGGCTGCCTCAGATCCAGACACTGGGGATAATGCCAAGCTCACCTACTCCATTGTAGGAAATCAGATTCAGGGAGCCCCAGCCTCCTCCTTTGTGTATGTCAACCCAGAGGATGGACGGGTCTTTGCCCAGCGTACCTTTGACTATGAATTGCTGCAGATGCTGCAGATTGTGGTGGGGGTTCGAGACTCTGGCTCCCCACCATTGCATGCCAACACATCTCTGCATGTGTTTGTCCTGGACCAGAATGATAATGCCCCAGCTGTGCTGCACCCACGGCCAGGCTGGGAACACTCAGCCCCCCAGCGTCTCCCTCGCTCTGCTCCTGCTGGCTCCTTGGTCACCAAGGTGACAGCTGTGGATGCTGATGCAGGCCACAATGCGTGGCTCTCCTACTCACTGTTGCCACAGTCCACAGCCCCAGGACTGTTCCTTGTGTCTACACACACTGGTGAGGTGCGCACAACCCGGGCCTTACTGGAGGATGATTCTGACACCCAGCAGGTGGTGGTCCTGGTGAGGGACAATGGTGATCCTTCACTGTCCTCCACAGCCACAGTGCTGCTGGTTCTGGAGGATGAGGACCCTGAGGAAATGCCTAAATCCAGTGACTTCCTCATACACCCTCCTGAGCGTTCAGACCTTACCCTTTACCTCATTGTGGCTCTAGCCACCGTCAGTCTCTTATCCCTAGTCACCTTCACCTTTCTGTCAGCTAAGTGCCTTCAGGGGCACGCAGACGAGGACGGGGGTGGAGGGCAGTGCTGCAGGCGCCAGGACTCACCGTCCAGGGACTTCTATAAGCAGTCCAGCCCCAACCTGCAGGTGAGCTCGGACGGCACGCTCAAGTACATGGAGGTGACGCTGCGGCCCACAGACTCACAGAGCCACTGCTACAGGACGTGCTTTTCACCGGCCTCGGACGGCAGTGACTTCACTTTTCTAAGACCCCTCAGCGTTCAGCAGCCCACAGCTCTGGCCCTGGAGCCTGACGCCATCCGGTCCCGCTGTAATACGCTGCGGGAGCGGAGCCAGGTGAGGGGCTCGGCGCCGCCCCGGGCGACCCCTGGGGGCGGCACTGGAGAAGCCGCTCGTCCTCTTAAAGGACTGAACTTGCATCCACTCCTCTCCGGCCCGCTCGACCGCTGGCTGCGCTCCACCCGATTCTCGGGACCATTGGACTGTTTGCGCGGAACCAGAGGAGTGGTGAATTAGGGATAGGGCTCCGAGCACGGGGGAGTGGTGGCGACTATGGGTGAGGGGAGGTGGGACTGACCCCCACTCTCACACTCAGAAAAGGTGGGGGCCCCCGTCGAACTTCCGATGAATTTCAGGTGATTTCCGCGGGTGTCGGGGGTCCCGGGAGGAGGCAGTCACAGATCCACCCCTTCAGCCAGCCTCCTAGGCGCCGGCTCCGGCTTGCTTGAGGGTCTTTAGGTTTCCTCTTCGGTTTCTCCCCAACTCCCAGCATCTGTGATTTCGCCGTTACCCTCCCTACCTCTGCATCACCCAACCGCATCTGTCTGCAGGACTTGGGTGTGCGCGCGGGTGTCCTGAGGGTCCTCCCTGCAGGCCACTCCCACGGCCCACACACAGTGCACAGGCTCGCCACGCCTCGCCAAACGTGCGCAGACGCACGCACACACCCGTCGCACTTGGGCTTACGCAAATACCAGCTTTCACTCCCACCTGCTCGCGGCCCGGTTCACAGGCCTGTCCCTGGCCACTTGCAGCTCCCCTCCGCCGCTCTCTCCGCCGAGCTCTGGGGTACTCATAGCTGATTGTGCCCGCCTTAGTGAGGGTCCCAGATCGGCGGCTGCCCAGGTCCAAGTGAGGACTCCAGAGCCTCTCACTTCTCCCACTCGCGCCCTGGGCTGGGCTGGGTCGCCTGGGGGCGGCCTGAGCGAGGTGGGGCGCCGAGACCGCTGGAGCGACTCAGATGGGCCCAAGGTCCAGATGGGCCCGGGGCTCCTCTCGAGGGTGGCGACCCCTCAACCCAGAAGCTTCAAGCAGGCGGACAGGCAGAGCTGCCCGGTAGCCGGAGGTGCGGCAGGGCTCGGTCTTGGGCGAGTGAGTGTGTCTCTATAGGACAGCAGGCCTGGGACTCCAGTGGCACCAGCGGCCCCTTCCTCTAGGAAGGGGAAACCTGGAGCGCCCTGGCTCTCTAAGGCCAGAGATACAGGCTTTTGGCGCCGTCGCGATCACAATGTGCCCAGCGATCTAGGGTCAGAGATTTGGAGGGGACCAGAGTATCTGAGACTCTAACAAGTCCTGTCTCCTCTGACAGATGGAAAGCTACAGGATCTGCCTGATGCCAGGTTGCCCTGATGTGTGAGAAAACTGCATTAGTAAAAATCACAAGTTTCCTCAACTCCAGGAGCTTTTATTCAAAATATATCTATGCCTAACTCTGCTAGAATCAGGATTGTATTCTGAAACACCCCCAGGTGATTTTGATAGCTGATTGAGAGAAACTTACTATACAACTCCTTTAAGAACATCATCTCATTTGCTCTTCCTAGCATTGCTATTGGCTAGGTACTAACATCTGTCTCTTATAACAGCTTCACAGAGATCAAGTGACTTGCTCAAGTTCACAGAGCAAGTAAGAAGGAATCTAAATCTGACCCCTGTCTAACTCCAGAATTTGTGCTTTGAATTTCTTGGCACTTGGAACTTTAAAAGCTCGAGGACAGAAGAGGAGGGGGTTTGCCTCTGCTGGGATTTTGCTTTTGCTGGGATGTGGCAAGGGTGGAGTTCCTTCTCTTTTAGGACATCACTTGTTGGGAAAGTCTTCTGTGGCTCCTGATTTCTGAGCAGCCTCGCAGCGCAAACTTGGCCCAGTTGTCCTTATGTAGGTTGAGTTTCTCCCAGCTCCCTTTCCTGCTGTCACAATCGCTGCATCTCAGCGTAAATTCTGCTGTGTCTAAGAATACAGTGGCTGAGGGCTGACCATCCCTGTGCTTTTCTCTGTGGCAGCCCCAGAATGGTGCTGGTGACTCCTGATGCACCTGGAATGCTAGGTTTCTGGGTTCTGCTCACATCACTGCCACCTGTGAGCCTTAGAGTGAGTCACTGGCAGTTCTGGAGCTTCCTTATCCCTGGAGTAATCTGAGATACTCACACTCTCTGCTTCTGGGAGCAAGTGTGAGTATTAATTACCAGCCCACAGCAGACAGTGAGGAGATGGCTCTAGGAGTGCTATGAGATGGCTCCATGAGAATGTGGTAGGATAACACATCCCCTGGAAAGACCAGAGGGACTTGGGAATAAAGTGACTGGCCAGAGCCCCGCACCTTGAGCTAGGTGGGAGGTGGCTACAGATCAGCCCCTTGGGACCCCTGGAGACTTTGTTGGCCCTGCTTGGAGGCTGTGGGAGCTCGATCCCTTCCCTCTGCATCCCTTCCATTTTTCTCTGTCTCAGACAGAGCAGCCTTGTTCTCTTCTCCTTAGTCGCAGACCATTGTCTGGCACAGAGTTCTAGGAGTGAGAAGTGTCCCGGGACTTGGATGCCCTGCAAAGGCCCAATCTGGCATGACTCCTAAATTAATAATGTATTTAGCTGTGGGAAGAGATCCTTGTGAGCCAAGGGGCTGAAGGAGGTGTCCCTTTGAATGTGGCACTGCACAACCTGGCACCAAAAGGGTTACCCGGAGCAGCAGCCATCTTGCTGCAGAGGATGCTTTGTTCCCAGCTGAGGAGTTGAATAAATTCATTCTAGGGCTGGTGGAATTCTCATTGAAAAGCCTCCTCTGCCACTTTAGGGGGCTTTCTCTGCAGCTTTCCCCCCAGTTCCACACAAGATGCCTTCAGTCCTTGAATTTTGGCTCAGGAGTTCTGACTCTGGGGGCAGGGAAGAAGGAGCTATTCGTGTAAGAAAGGAGTCTGAGCTTGCTCACTGGAGTCAGATGAAATGTGATTTATCTCTTTGTTTCTGGTACCTCAGACCTCGGAGACCTGAGATATATTTTGTCTTTGGAGATGAGTCCACCCTGCCCTCTCTTAGCCTGTTTTCTTCTCAGTGCCCCCTCCCCTCCTTCTCTCCCGGCCCATCCCCGGGGGCTCTGGAGACATTCTGACTTCTCACAGGTACTCAGCCCCTTTCCCTCTGTTTTCTTCACAGCAAGCCCCGCCCAACACGGACTGGCGTTTCTCTCAGGCCCAGAGACCCGGCACCAGCGGGTAGGTGACTGATTCTCCAGCCCACCCTCTTCTCTGCGGCATTTTCTCAGGGATGACGTGGGAGGAGATGGGGGGAGGGCTCAGCATTTGCCACAAATGGCTTATCTATCAGTTTGAGATCCCAGGGAGATCTTGGTGTGTGGGGGGGCTGACACGCGGACCCCAGAAGGAAGAGGCACCTGCCCTGACTGTCCTGGAGCTCAACTCACACACTCACCCCTTCCCTCCTCCCCACTACCTGCACCTTTTCCTATCCCCTGGGGGCTCTGTGGAACCAAAGGATGGTCTTAAGCTGGTCTCTGGGTGAGAGCAAGGCTTTCTATACCCACATACTGCCTAGCCCCCTCCTCTGAGTTGAGCTGGGCTCTATTCTGACCCCCGGTTCAGGCAGAAAAACATTTGACCTAAGGAGGCAGTCCGCAGTCAGTGCCTCCTCCCAAGCCTCCAGAGCCGAGGCCCACCAGAGCCTGGATAGAGTGGAGGCAGCACAGCTGGAGACGGGACTGAGGAAGGACTGGGCAGGGCTCAGAGCAGGCCTCCCTCATCCGGCCCTCCTCCCACTGTCCTCAGCCCCTACTTGTCCTGTCCTGTCTTTCTGCGAGGTCTCCATGTCTCTGCCCCTTTTTCTTGAGTTTCTGTCTTTGCCACTTTCTCTTACCTCTGGGTTCTTCCTTCAGTCTCTATCTCGCTTGGCAGTCTCTGCCTCTCCCGCTCTTCTCTATCTCTGTCTCAGCTTCCGTCCTGATTGCTGTGCCCTCCATCCCTGTCATTTGTCTACTTGCATTGATCTGTGCTGCCCACTGTGCCCACCATGGCATAGGTGCTCAATACATGTGGACTGAGTGGCTACGCGAGACTCAGACTCAGTCTCTTTCTCCTTCTCTATCTCTGTCTCCCTGTCCTTGTCCTGGACTTCTTTTCTGTTTCTCCTTTCACCATCTCCTAGTAGTGCCCTGGTGTTCTGTCCCCAGCCTCTGTGTTTCTCCGTCCCACTATTTCTGCTTTCCTCTCTGTTCTCAGCCTTGCCGCGTCTCTTTCTTTGTCTCTGTCTCTGTGCCTGTTGTCTTTTTCTGCCCCTTTCTCTGTTACTCTTTATCTCTCTTTTATCATGTCTTTTTCTCTGAGCCTCTGTCTCTGTCTCTCTTTTTTTTTTTTACTTATGGGCAAGCTAGCACACACCCACCCCCACCACACTCTCACCCTCCCTTGCCCCTCACACACAGAGCCTTTGATCGCAGCTCTCTACCACACACCCTCCCATCCAGGCAGCCCCAGCTGCTCATTTCAATCTGGTATGAATTCCTGCTGAGACAGGAACCCCCTGCGGGCTGAAGGGGAGGGAAACTTCAGCAGAAAGACCTTCAGTTGGTCTGAACAGAGTGGGATAGGCTCTGGGCCAGGCCTCCCAGTTAGAAGTCAGGAGCCTGGAGGAGTCCTGGAGCCTAGGGAGAGAAGCAGGAGCTTAGGCTACCTTACCCTACCTCCTCGATGGTTCAGTACTGCTGTCCACATTTGCCAAGTTGCTATATAGATGTGGAGTTTCCAAGAATCTTCTCTCCCCATCCCACAACCAACCAAAGCCTTGTTGCCATGAGGATCCAGGAGCCCTTGGTGTATGGCAGAGATTCCAGCTCCTGGGCATGCACAGTCCTGTCACTGGTTTTAGGAATGCAAGGTGCTTCCTAGAAGGCCCCTAAAAAGCAGCAGATCAAAAGGCTTGGGCTGCCCTTGCCCCTCCTTTGACCCCAGCTGTTGCCCTTCTCCCTGCTGGCCTTGCCAACCTTCTCATAAGTTATCCATTAAGTCATTAATGTATTAATTTATTCAACAGATATTTATCAAGCATTTACTATGAGCAGGGGCCTGTGCTAAACATTGGGCCATAAGAGTGAACAAGTAGGCCAGACATGGTGGTTCATGCCTGTAATCCCAGCACTTTGGGAGGCCAGGGCAGGTGGATCACAAGGTTAGGAGTTCAAGACCAGCCTGGCCAACATGGTGAAACCCTGTTTCTACTAAAATACAAAAATTAGCTGGGCGTGGTGGTGTCTGCCTGTAATCCTGGCTACTGGGGAGACTGAGGCAGGAGAATCACTTGAACCCGGGAGGCGGAGGTTGCAGTGAGCCAAGATTGTGCCACTGCACTCTAGCCTGGGCAACAGAGTGAGACTCCATCTCAAAAACAGCAACAACAACGACAACAACAACAAAAAAACAAAAGTGAGCAAGTAGATGTGATCCCAGAACTCATAGGCTTCTAGGCCAGCAGAGGAGACAGAAAATTTGCAACAAGTAACACACACACACACACACACACACACACACACACACACACACAAATGTTGGGTGCTGTGGATCACACCTATAATATCAGCACTTTGGGAGGCTGAGGTGGGCAGATCATTTGAGATTAGGGGTTCAAGACCAGCCTAGTGGCCAACATGGTTGAACGCCATCCCTACTAAAAATTAGCCAGGTGTGGTGGCAGGCACCTGTAATCCCAGCGACTCAGGAGGCTGAGGCAAGAGAACTGCTTGAACTGGGGAGACAGAGGTCACAGTGAGCTGAGATCATGAAAAAAAAAAAAAAAAAGAATCTAACTATAAATCATAGTAAGTTCTGAGAGGCAGAGAACAATGTAAGTGTAATGGGGAGGAAGATCAGGGAAGTCGTCCAGGAGGGGGTGACACTGAGAAGTTCTAGGCCATTTATGTTCCCCCTACCTACCTGCACCCCAGGCCATACACTCTCTTTGAAGCAGAATTCACTGTTGAACCTGGAAACCCCACCAACTGCCTCTCATGTGTCCTCTGGGGTTAGCACCTTACCCCTGTCTCAACTCCCTTTTCACCAAATGAGAGGCTTAGTGGCCTGGAATACATGTGGGAGCTCTTGGAGATATGGAGGAGAAGGTGCGGCACCTGTCTCACTCTCTCTCTCTCTCTCTCTCTCTCTCTCTCTCTCTCTCCCTCCTCTCTCTGCTTCCTTAGTTAACTTGTGGGGGATGCAAGAAACATTTTTTTTTTTTTGAGATAGAGTCTTGCTCTGTCACTCAAGCTGGAGTGCAATGGTACAATCTTGGCTCACTGCAACCCCTGCCTGCCAGGTTTAAGCAATTCTCCTGCCTCAGCCTCCGAGTAACTAGGACTACAGGTATGCACCACCACACCCAGTTCATTTTTGTATTTTTAGTGGAGACGGGTTTCACCATGTTGGCCAGGCTGGTTTCAAACTCCCTGCCTCAAGTGATCCACCCGCCTCAGTCTCCCAAAGTGCTAGGATTACAGGCGTGAGCTACTGCACCTGGCCGCAACAAGCATTTTTGATTCAGTGGCTCCAAAGTGGCCAAGATGAAATAAGTGTTAGGATCTAGTCCAGTAACTTCAGCTTCTCTCCTTCCTTCATTCAACAAACGGTCAGTGAGCACTTTCTATTGGCCAGGCAGTGTTCTCCATGTGGGAGGCCCCCCTGCCCTCAAGGAGTTTATAGTGCAACGAAGGAGACGAATATTGACCAAATAATAACAAAAATAAGTGTGAGACTGAAGCTGTCATAAGCACGAGGAAGAATTGTACCTGGTGGTGAGAGCGTATAATAGGGATTTGACCTGGGGGGCAGGAGGACATCCTGGAGGAAATGAAGTTGTACTGAGATCTGAAAGATGAATATAAATTAACCAGCTGAAGACAAGAAGGAAGAGCGTTCTAGATGGTCAAGCACACCAGCTTCAAAGCAGGGCCAGTGTTGACTTCTTCAGTAAAGTTGGTTCAAGTTCAAGCCAGCACTGGGTCACACTGCCTACACAGAAGGAACAGCATTCCAGATGGGGGGGGGGAAAGTCTATGCAAAAGCCCTGTGGTGAGGCCCCCTGGGATCAAGAGAACGACAGGGAATTTTCTCTTCGCTGCCATTGAAGTGAGGGGATGAAGAGGAGAGGTTTGTTTGATTCAGCCTGACCCTGGTTCCAGCCTTTCGCTGCTGCCCTGACTCACTCCGTCCCCACCACTTTGCCCATTGCCCTCCAGCCTGGTCTGGTCAGGCACAGCAGCTTCAAAGCAGGGCTAGTGTCGAGTTCTTCAGTAACCTCGGTTCCAGTTCAAGTCAGTACTGGGTCACACTACCTAGACAGAAGGAAGAAGACCTGGCCTTTGGGAGACTGAGGTGGGCGGATCACCTGAGGTCAGGAGTTTGAGACCAGCCTGGCCAACATGATGAAACCCCATCTCTACTAAAAATACAAAAATTAGCCAGGTGTGGTGGTGCACACTTGTAGTCTCAGCTACTCAGAAGGTTGAGGCAGGAGAATTGCTTGAACCCAGGAGGCAGAGGTTGCAGTGAGCTGAGATCGCACCCCTGCCTTCCAGCCTGGGTGACGGAGCGAGACTTCATCTCCAAAAAAAAAAAAAAAAGAAAGAAAGAAAGAAAGAAAGAAAAAGAAATGGAAAGGGGGGAAAAATGATGACTTATATTCTTAAGTCCCTGCCTGCCACATGCTTCTCCTCCCCACCACTATCCCTTCTCAGTTCATCCTTTGGGCATCTGATCCCAGTAGCTGTTGTCTCAAGCTCTGAGCCCAAAAAACCATTTCCCCCTTCTCAGGCTGTTACCCAGGCCCCGTCCTGCAGCTGTCTCCGGCCTCTGCACAAAAAGTCTCCATTCGGCTTCCCCTGGTCCCCAGCTTGTTCTTTGGTGGCTCCACAAAACCATCCCTCCTCCTCTGAGAGACAATATCCCTGCTCTTGCTCAGTTTGGGCAGTCATTCAACAAACAAATAGCAACTTAATTTTTTTCTGCTTATAAAATAGTACCTGCTTATTGTAGAAATATGAGAAATAGAAAAAAAAATTAAAAGGAAAACCACCCATCATTCTACAATCTAGGGAGAACCACAACCAACTACTAATTTGATATGAAACATTTCAAATATGTACAAAAGTAGAGAGAATGATGTCATGAACCTGTATGATACCACTATCCAGCTTCAACTAATGCCTTACCTT